AGTTTCGGGCTGTGCACTGCAAAGCCAAATCTTAGAAAATTCATAACTTCCTCATACGAAGTCAGATTTGAGCGTTCTTTTTTTTTTTGTATGTTCTCGGTTTAACGTATACTACAACTTTTGTTTAGATTTCTAAGGCTAAAAAGTCCTCCATCATAAATTCACTATTTATGTCTCCCGGTGTCGTACCGGTTTTGCCGTAAGACTTCGACGGACCATAACTTCTTCGTTATAACTCGGATTTCAACGTTCTTTATATGTACGGAACCCTTGAGACGTATTCTACAACTTGGTTAAGATTATTTATTCTAAATAATCTTTTGTCACAAAGTCGTTTTCGACCCCTATTATATCTAAATTGACTAGCCCGGATCTACAGGCGTTACACAATCTCTTTGGTATAGTGACTCCTAATCCATGCATATGTCACCAATTATCCAAACTTGAAGTTCCTAGCATAATTATGATCAGCTTTTAGTGACTTGATTTGGAAACTCTCTTCATCACTCATCCAAAAAGCCCATAATCTAAATATACAAGCACCCTTGCTACACCTCACCAAAAGTCTTTTCCTATCTTTTTTTTTTCAAAACACAATTGATATCCATTAGCCACAACATAGTTTCACAACATTGATTTTACTTTCCCTGGACCCTTAAATCTCATTCCTAGAATTGGTTTTTGTTTTTCCCAGTGTAATAGATCATTAAATATGGAATGAGTTTGGATTTTAGGTTCAAATTCTCTCCCATTATCATCATCTACAATTTTGTTATCCTCCTCCTCATCAACACATAACTTACTCAAGAAAGGATCATTTGATGTCCTATTCATATGCACTACATCCTCATTAAATTCAAAGGCAACATTGCTAAATTTATCTATGTTATCTTCATTTTCATCATCAATACAAGACTCACGTTCATCATCATCATTATCTTCATCATCAAACCACCCATCAACAACAACCCCAATATGATCCACATAAACCGAAATTACACCATCTGTTCCATAAGCATCAAAAATAAAAGTAGCATATTCTACATCATCTGAAATGGGATTAAGACCTTCCATCAGGGAATTGCCTGGTTCACAGTAGTATAACTTTTTACACTCTTCATGCATGAAATATTCGCAGAAGGTCACAAACTCGGAATAAGTCATAGAAGAAAAGTCGATATCAGTGAACATGGTTTTCACACCACCAGTGTAAGAGAAAGGATTTCGATTAAATACCCCCTGGTAGTTGAGTTCCACCATCACAAACACTCCATTAGGTTCCGATTACGCCATTGTTACGACTTCTTTGGTTCTTCAGCTAGATCAAAAAAATGCTTCACAAACCCTATACCAATTTCGTTTACAGCTGAATAATGAAGACAAGTGAAGTTCGATAGCTGAGGACGATAGGTTTTAAGCATCGTATATCATTTATTGACGTGACATATCTCACGTGGCATCGGATTAGCCAAAAAATAAATATTAATTGACACATATAAAATGTCAACCGGGAAACCATTTAAAAGTATGGAAAATGACTAAATTGACAGGTCATATACGATTTTAGTGGTCTAATGTACCCAAAAAAAAAACTTTAATGACCAAATTAGCCAAATGTCAAAACTTTCATGTGCTACAGTGTCATTATCCCTATTTTGAAACAAAAAAATATTAAGGAATAAATGTGTACAATAATATTAAGAACTAAATGTGTACAAAATGATAAATATATTACCCTATTAAGTCATTTTTCCCGGCTAACCTAAAGTAACTGCTAATAAGGACTGAATGTGTACAGTTTAACAAGTTGAAGGGTTAAATATGGACAAAAAAATCTCAATGACCAAATGTGTACAAATCAAAAAATATATTACCCTTTTAAGTCATTATCCCTTGTTTAAACGGCTAAACGATTTTGATATGTCTTATATCAGGTTCAATAAGAAATAATGGTAGTTCGAAATAATGTGAGACTCAGTTCGAATCAAATCATTTGTTTATCAAAATCGTACCTATTATTATTATTTGACTTTTATTTTTATCAGAGTCCATAATTTTTTAGCCATTTTGTGTCCTTATTTATTTACTTTTGATTTATTTATTATTTATTAATTATTAATCTATTTAAAAAAATTGCGAAATTGTTGGGTGTAAGCCATATAAATTCTCATTTATTTATCTTGGACTTCCAGTTGGTCAAAATATGACAAGGGTTTTAGGATGAAAGAATATTATGGAAAGATTTCATCATATACTTTCAAACCAAAAAGATACTACTTTATCTATCGGTGAAAGATCTATGTTGTTGATATCGGTTTTAGGTTCATTAGGGATATATTATTGTAAGTCCAAAATGCTACGATGTATCAATCGGATTCACTTGATGGTGCGGAATCTCAATCAAGTGAATGATGCAAGATCAAATATGGAATAAGAACACAAAGATTAATCTTCAACGCACACTATTATTGAATAGTCGGGTACATAAGATTCTTGATTACACTTGGTTCTCTCATGTTTTCTCTCCAAAATCACGTTCTAAGTATATGGCAGCCCCCAAAAACGTCCCCATTAATTACAAGGCTCAAATAACACTATTTATACCTAGACCTAATAACAAAGCCCAAGCCCAAAACCCAAACAAAACAATATTAAGCTTAACCAAAATCACATGTGATTTTGGTCCAAACAACACCAAAACATGGTGTTTTCGTTCCTAGACCAAGAACTCTAATATCTTATGAAAAGCAAAGTATAAACCACAATTTATGACCTAACAATCTCCCCCTTGGTTTATAGCTTTCTTTTCTTATGATCTAACAATCTCCTCTTCGTTCTTGACTTTAGCTTTTGTCTTCGATTTCTTCACAACTTCAAGATGAACATATGAGTTTCTGCATGAATGACTTTATCTTGAAAAGTTGGACTTCCTTCAAAGATTTGAACTTGAACGCACATTGGGTGTAGGGGCTTCTTGTAAAGATTCTTGAAAATCAGCACTTTCAGCTTTGAAATACTTCAGAGAAAATAACAGAGAGACCGATTCTTCTGGATCACTTCAGCAAGTTCATAGATAGTAGCAAATTGATCGAGGAGACTTCAATGCAATCTGTCACATAACTTCAAGTACAGCTTCACCTTGCTTCTGGGGTTGAAAAATTGAATGTTGAAAGATAATCTTCACTTCTTGTTCCTTCGAATGAGTAATTGAATGTTGAAAGATAATCTTCACTTCTTGTTCCTTCGAATGAGTATTCTTTAACGATCACCGTTGCGCCTTGAAAAGTAACCATGAGTAAAAAGTCCCTGTGGTCACAGAATCATAAAGACCCTTCTCACCACAGTTATTCAAGGACCCAACCTTGGCTCAGAAGGAGACTACTCGTAGTATTTGTGTGAACACGGAGGAACGCACTGCGATTTGTTGAGTATCAGAGAACTACTCATAGCTATTTTGATGTTAGCCCCTGCATATCCTTGATCAAAGATCTCAATGCAGTTTTTCAAGTTAACAAGTTAACTTGGCCCTTGGCGAGACGTTCAACGATAATCTTGCCTTGCGAGGTGCATCGCCTTGGTGCCATGACATCTATACAGTTTCAGACTTTTAATTCCTTAAATACGACAGTTCTTAGAAAGAGACTGCCTAACTGACAATTTGTACAGTTTCAATTCTTCAATTCCTTGTGAAAATATAGTGAAGAGTAATAACCATAAACTCCTTTCCAAATTTCTTCTCAGAAAATTCCGATACAGTCTCCTTGAGTCTCTTCTTCTTTTTGAATTCGCTTTTTAAGACAAAACGAAACTTTGAGATAAAAAATAAAAGTAAAAATAAACTTAGCACACAATAGAAATAACTAAGAAATAAAATTAAAATTAAAATACACTCAAAAGTAAAAATAAAATATTCTTGGATTTTTAATTTTTCTGAAAGCAAATAAAAATATAAATAAACTTATTTTTGGATTTTTAAATTTTATGATTTTTGTTTGATTTTTTAATTCTCCCCCTAAATTTGTGCATAGAGGAAAAATATAAACAAATTTAACAGAAACAAAAATAAGATACAAAATGTAAAAAACATAAACTTTTGGGATCAAAGTTGTCAAGAAATACAATATCGTTTATCAGCACACACCTGCATGTTTAGCTCTAGTCAATCACCAATATTGTGGTCCACTTAAACACAAATGGTATTGACAAGTTGGTGAGATTATAAAAGACAAGACATTGTGATTATATTCCTAAATAATATTCCTAAATAGACCATTTTGTTGACGACGACCAAGGATATTGTTGTCCACTTAAATTCAACAGCGAGATCTACATACAACCATTATTTAATTCAATTTTAAGTGCACTAGAACGTGTTCCCCAGTTCACGACATACTCTAGTAATCAAGGAATTCCAAAGAGCTCTTTACTTTAGGTGAGTGCTCAATTATTTGAGAAAGAAGTTAGATATAGAGATGCATATGTTGTATCCCAGGTCGGATGTCTTCCAATCACGCAGAGGGAACAACATATGACTAACATAGATAGAGGGATAAAGAGATAGAAAGGTGCATATGTTGTGTCCCAGGTCGGATCTTCCAATCAAGCAAAGAGGACATCATATGAATGACATAGATAGATAGAGAGAAGCATAGATAGAGATACATGGAAATAGAGTGCATATGTTGCATCCCAAGTCGGATCTACCGATCATGCAAAGGGGGCAACATATGACTGACAGAGAGGATAAGAAAGAAAAACAATTTCACACCGACATACTTTATCAGAACCCCCCATTCACCCTATAAGCACAAAAATTAAGGACATAAGTCTGTACATCGAAGAAGTGTTGATCCACAGTTCTAGATGATAAGTAACTTTAATGTATCTTGTAGGCTCCCTTGTTTATCTCACTGCTCAATCTATCCAAGCGTCGTATGGTCAATCCAAATGTAAATATATAAGTCCTGATGAGTTAACATTGTCAAGTCCTTTAATTTTCAGCTATGTCTAGTCCTTTTGAATCCTTCGTGCCTACCCGAACATTGAACACAGAGTCTAAACAATTTAACTTCAGTGCATTACATGCATCTCATATTTTCCTTTAGCACTAAATTTCATATCACTTCCCAAAAATACTTACAAAAGAACACATATTTTTGTATTTTTGATTTTTTAATTTTATTTATTTGTTTGTTTTATTTCTCCCCCTTAATTTGTGCATGGGGAAGAAAGGAAACAAAATAAATGCGCAAATTTTAAAAAAATTGTCTTCAATACGAATCATTTTATGAAAAACTTAAAAGTATCGAGAAGAAAACTCAAAACGTAATTCAACAATTGAAGTTGCATCTAGATGATCTGAGAACAACAAGCAGATGCAACAACATGTTCAGCCTCAGCTGTGTTTCAACTCCGGAACGAAGTTAAGATATTCAACACGCTGTTAAACACGATCCCCATTTGTGATCCTTTCTTTCTTCCTTCCCCACAAAAGACACATGCTCTCAATGAAGATTCTGAATGTCGTACATATGAGAGATGTCTCATATCATGTGCCTGGAACAGCCACTATCAACAAACCGAAGTATGATGATATTCCTCCATAGTTGCTCCGACACAGAGTGCGGAATTAGTTGCCTTTTGGAACCCAGACCATTTTGAAACTTGGTTGACCTTTATCATCTACACAAGGTACTCTCTCCCATGACATATCCTGTTTATCAGACACAGAAGATGAAGAAATGTTAGAATCATTAGATGATTTGGGAGTGTGAACCTTTGGTACCCATCTGTAGTCGGGTTTAACCCATTTCTTGTTTGATCGGATGGATGCCTCAACACTTGCTTTAGAACTTGAAACCGATCGCCGAGATGACTTCGACCTAACCGATCTTTGTCTAACAGAACCATCTCTTGAATTTGGCTTCTTTTCAGACATTCCCTTCTTGTCATTGAGAGTTTGATTCTTGGCCTTTTTCGCGTTCCAGTCACCATTGCGTGAATGTGACCTCGAAGGATTTCTTTTGGAGAATCTCCCTCTTGGCACGCTCTGCCAACCTTGTGCATAGTAAGGAATATATAAACGATATGGGCAATTTCTGGCAATGTGACCGGGAGTCCCACAGTTAAAGCAAGTCTGTATTTTCATATAAATCAGATTGTGACTTGGTCCTTGTCCAAAAGAATTTTGTTTCAAGGGACTTCCACAAGTACAAACACAAGAACATTTAACAGATTGTTTAACAGACTTTTGTGGCTTG